TCTTGCGTAGTTTTCGCCCTTAGTCGACTTTTACGATACCCACGGGATGAAAAAGGGTGGTGACATTGCATATGCTTAATCCATCACTACACGGATAGTTAAAACTTAGATTAAAGAAATATTATCAAGGATTTTAAGTTCAAAAGTTGGTGATTAATTCGGGATTAATCATCACATCTCGCACAAGGCTCCGAGTGTCTCTCGTCCCCCGTTTAAGGTCTTGCACTTCTTACGTAGAAAAATATTCTATGAATGACTACTGTCACAGTTATGGACGTTTAGCGTTAAAAAGAGGTATTTCCAAAAGTATTTATTATTATAGCAATGCCCCTATCCAATAATTTGTTACTGGTTTGACCCCATCCTTCCATTCAAGCAGCAGATACTACCAAAATTAAATTGATCCCATAACCTTTGACTTTCCTGACGTTTCGACTTGATTTTCTGGCCGTGGTCACAGACTGACTGATATTGTATATTATGAAGATATGTATATCATGAAGATAGGTATAAAGCGTGAACAATTACCTGCGTGAAAGACTATAAAGTGAAACTCTATAAACATTTATAGAAAACATTTCATTGTTAATGCCACGGTTGTGAGGAACTTTAGAAAATGCAAAAGTAACTGGATATTATCTGGTTCTCTGAGTACAGAACAAAAGGCTCAAAGTAGTATACATTGTGTTTCATACAACAGCCTTTAAGAGTTGAAATAGAATACCAGGTCTTATTTACTTTTATACACGATAAAATGAGCATGCTTTATCACGGCCAGACTGTAATTATGCTTTACGGTCATATTTTAATCGAATTCTCGTGTACATGTACCGTGCTAAGGTACGTCCTATAAAAAGTACTTCGTCGTTTAATTAATTTCTAAAGTTTTGAGAACATGTGCAATTTTTTTTATGACAAACGAGGCTAAAAAGCAGACAGCCCACCTGATTCTAAGTGACTACGGTAATAATAAGTTCGTCAAAAAGTAATTTAATTGGTAAATTAATTTAAGGGAAGCCGAAACTGTATCGAAGCGACGTGCATTGGGAGAGGCCTTTGTCCAGCAGTGGACTGCGATAGGCTGATGATGATGATAAAATACACCAAACTCCAAAATTGGTTATATGTTTGTCGCAAAATAAATAAATAATTATAATTGCATAAGTTGATAAAAAATGCTATGCAATAGCTTTACCGCGGCAGTCCCCGAGTGCCACACGTCTTTTTTTTATAATATTCATACGAGTTTTGTACAAAAACAACTCACCAGGCTAAAGATGTCCGGCTTTTTGCTTTAAAAATTGAAGCTAAAACTAATGGGAACAAACGCAGACAGCGTAGAACCAAGTTTTAGGCAGGGGGATTTGTACCCATGTCTTAGTTCTGAAACCAATAGCTATTTCAAACTTTAGTGGACAATGCAATGTGATTATTCTCATCTCATAAGCCTTTTCATATACGTAACAGAAGGTAAATAGTTTTGATCTTAAGGTTGCAAATTGAAAATCAAATAGGCCAGGCTCGACCGGAGTGATATTTATATCCCTCACAGAAAACTGGTGTTAAATCATTGTGGGGTTACCGAAGCCAAAACTTGAGTTGCAACTGTCTATGGGCGGTGGTAGTCACTCACCATCAGGTATATAATAGAGGTATTTCCAAAATTATTTGTTATTATAGCGATGCCCCTATCCAATAATTTGTTACAGCTTTGACCCCATCCTTCCATTCAGACCTTTGAATTACCTGACGTTACGACTAGATTAACTGGCCGTGGTCACAGATAAAAAAAAACAAGTGCTCGATCTTTCACATCAACAGCCTTAAACAGTCCACTGCTGGTCATAGGCCTCTCCTTAGAAAGGAGGTTTTGGCCTACTATACCACGCTAGCCAGACGGGTTGGTATAGGGTTTGTGTTAAGTTTTCCTTCTCTCTGCAGTGCTGTTATCCTGCGTAGTTTGCTCCCTTAGTCCTACCTAGCTTGAGAAAAAGGCTCAGAGGAAGAAGAACTTTTGAAAGATCATATGTACACATATATTTTTTTGTTTATTAAATGCAACACACATTACAATCAATTAAAACAAAAATTATAAATATGTCGTTTAGATTTGGATCGTAACGTAACTCATATGTGCACAAAGAAAAACAATGAAGTTTATACAAAGATTATCTGTGATTCATAATACTGTAAGTAATATAACAATAAGTAGCAAAGTAAGTAAGCAGCTAATGTGATGCAGATCTGAATGCTAATGCAAACCAAACTCACTATGGAGGATGTCTTTCACTAATTTACTATAGAAGCAGAGAGAGTCGCCTGCCACTTGCATTTTCTATCTATACTAATATTATAAAGCTGAAGAGTTTGTTTGTTTGTTTGTTTGAACACGTTAATCTCTGGAACTACTGGTCCGATTTGAAAAATTCTTTCAGTGTTAGATAGCCCATTTATCGAGGAAGGCTATAGGCTATATATCATCACGCTAAGACCAATAGGAGCGGAGCACCAATGATGAATGTTTCAAAAACGGAGAAAATTTATTACTATTGAGAGACGCAGACGAAGTTGCGCGGGTCAGCTAGTCTAATATATAAAATTATCGTGTCACGATGTGCGTGGTTGAACTCCTCCGAAACGGCTCGACCGATTTTCGTGAAATTTTGTGTGCATATCGGGTAGGTCTGAGAATCGGCCAACATCTATTTTTCATACACATATTTTTATTTTATTTTGACTTTTTTTTTTGAAATAATGTATATGGCAAAAAAACGTTTACCGGATCAGCTAGTCTTTTATAATTCCATATTCATCATTATCATTTTTTTAAGTGAAAGATAATATTTTTTACAATTACTGAGTCAACAGCAAGGCGTTAGAACTAATGCAATTTATATGGAAATCACACTTGATAGTATGAAAACTCTAGCACAAGCGAATTCATTTACCAAAAAAGCTTTCTGTAAAAAATTGTTTACCTTACTTTACAAAAAATTCACAATTTTATTCTGCAAAGAAAAATCTTAAAAATATTGGACTTAACCCTCTGTCATGTCGCTGTCCACGAACCGTTTAATATGCTAAATTTAAGTATTGCTTTATTTTAATTTCGCGGCTAAACTTTACGAGCCAACGAACTGTAGTGTAGTAGCGAGGTCAAGAACACAATACACGAGCTATATGAATCGATTTATGAACGCAATATATTTTCAAGCTAAATAAGTTAACGGGCCTGTAGGTAGTGATTCTGATTGCTAAGTGAAAGGTCGTACATTCGATTCCCACCCAGGACAAAATAATTTTAGCACGATCTTTTGTTTTGTGTCTGGGTGTAATTTATGTGCCGTGTGTGATATGCGCGACCTGCGACCCGCGACTTGAATTGACTTGAATTTGAAAACGCTGCCTTAGTGGGTTAGATTTCCGGACCGGGCGAAACTTTAAAGGGTTTTTCTGTAAGGAAAATTAACCTCAGTTACTGCTTATATAGACAGCTACCTGGTAGTAAAACTCTTTTTGTAGGCATAGGTATCGTGAAAATAACCGTGAGAGCATGAAAAAAATCTATTATTTTGACATTACAAACAGACATCAATTTTATTTATTTGTATAGATGGGTCGTTGTGTTTCAAAGGATCTTAAGTAATTAAGTGCCAAGTTACCGAATGAAAACCAACTTTTTTCTGATCTGATTGCTGTTTTTTTATAAAACTTCATTTGTTAGTTTAATCCCGCCATTGATGTTCCTAATAGTTTCTTCAAACGAAATAAATCAAAGTTTAGAGTACATGACACGGTTTTAAACAAAAAAAGAGACATGGCGAATACCTTATCTGGAAATAGTTGCCTTGATTTGATTGTTCTCTAAATTGCCTACTAACGTTTGAACTGGAATTGTAATACATATCGGTGAACCTTTTTTTATTTTTTGTTTTTCTTTTTATGTCATAAGGGGGCAAACGAGCAAACGGGTCACCTGGTGGTAAGCAACTACCGCCGCCCATGGACACCGTCAAGTCAAAAGTCACGAGTGCGTTGCCGCCCTTGGAGTCCTTCCCGCTCGAGTCAGCGGGAGGGACTCAAAGGACACTATTACCTGTGCGTAATACGATTCATAAAGGTTTTCCTGATGACACCGAAAGGGTTCATAAGAACACATCTGTTGAACGTAAACACTCTTGTTATGATTTATTGGATTTATCTAACCTGTCTACAGACATCAATAGCCTTCACAGGAAAAAAAAGTGCAGAGGAAACGCTTTATCCGTTTATATTGGAAAATTGTCCGGTCATCGTAATAGTACAAGATTTTGGAGATGAATTCACTGTGGCGAAAGAATGTGTCTTTAAGCTTATTTATGCGAAGGATCAGCTTTCCATTGTAATGGGATTAGATCGACTCGTGGAAACTTAGATCGTTTGCTGTCTGGGACCAGACGTATTTTATTCAAGAGAGCTAATATGATCGGTATTAGTGAAATTTATATATGTATGTTAGTGTGATCTAAAATCGTTATATCTTTTAATTATGTCATCACATTATTATCACATATCGCTTTAAATAGTTAATGGTTTTTAAAATACACTCTTACAAGAGACTTAAACAATAACACATGGTCTTGTACGAATGTGTGTTAAGAATATAGTTTAAAAACCTTGTTAACATCTTCAACTGTTTATTGCTTCGCTTGGATTGTTAAAAATCGTTAAGTTTGTCTGACTTGTAATGAATTTACGAAAGAAACCGCAGTGCGCACTCGTGTCCTCGTTTCACCTGAGAGCTAAAATTATGCCTAACAAAGCCCTCACAGATATCTTGTTGTCAATGCGGGTAAACCGCAACGGTTACAATCCGATATAAGCATATTTACACTTTAAATGTTCTATTCTAAGACAAAACAAAGGTATAGTTTGACTACCCACTTTACGTGGACGAAGAGGTTTTTACTCCAAGTACCATTGAATTAATATTTCATACAAGTTTATTTCCATTGTTATAGTGCATGAAGGCGTACGTCGAGTTTGAAGTATGCAATGGTGCGTACGAAGTGTCGTGTCCTGACGCGAGATGCAGAGTTGGTGCGGCGCTAACACTAGACGAAATAGCCGCATTGGTAGAGCCTGCTGTTATGGAGAAACATCTCAAGTTTCGACTTAATCATGGTCAGTATTTTATTGCAATAATTTAGATGGCTTAGTTGTTGTAAATAGGATGCTCAGAGAATGAAGAAGAGACATGTACAATCCTCTAAACCCTAGAACATCGTTTATATAGTCTCTCTCATATTAAAAAAAAAACTTGTCATGCTTTTGGTGATAATGCCAGATGCAATCTAATTATTTTGGCATGTCATGTTTGGGAGAATCGTGCTTCGGCATAATTGGGCCGCTACCGGAGTGACACCACGGCCTCACAGAAAACCGGTGTTAAGTAATTGTTTCACTTCGTGAGTAAGGTTAACGGAGCCTAAACCCCCCTTATGTCTGGTGAAAGGGGACTTAAAAGGTGCCATCGCGCTTGCAACTCTTGACTTGTCACTGAGTTTTTAAGTATATATAGAAATGTTTAGTTAATAATTTGTGATGTTTAAACATATGAACAATCCAAACCCATCGTCCTTTGAAACGTATTTTTCCATTAATAATTATCACATTAATTAACGAGTGGCGGAATATGTGGGTAATTAGATCTCTGGAGAATTACTGATAGTCTAAAAACTGGTGTTTACTTATAAAATTACTTGATCTGGCTGACTGACTGATTCGTCAAACGTAGAGCCTGAACGCTGGAGCTACAAACGTGAAATGTTGGCTTTTTATGTTGTAAGCACTCACTAAGAAATAATTTTTTTGCCCACCAAAAAGGTAAAATAATCGATGAAAGATTGTATGTAAGTTCGTCATTTTCAAAGTTAGAAAACACGAAATAAGAAGTAATAACGCGAGTGAAGCCGAGGACATTAGCTAGATTGAAATAAAAATAAAATTTGTTGTGTGCGTTTTAACCCAATTAGATGCTACATTAAATATATCAAAGTAGGTCAATAGGAAATTAACATAAACTGCTAATTAATTGAATATAAGCACAGTGACATAGACATTGATGCTTGCAACACTTGACTCCATTATTTACACACTAGCTGCGGCTCGCAGCATTATCTGCAATTCCTTGTTTATCCCCCGGGAACACAAAGAAAAACGTGATAAAAAGCTAGGGTGTCAGCTACCTCTACACCAATTTTTAACAAAACTGGTCGAGCCGTTTGAGAGTGAAGAAGTAACAAACACTTACGCCTTTATAATATTAGTGTGATGCAGTGTTTTAGGAAATACTATCCTAAATTATCATCATATTATGAATTCTTATAGTATTCTATCCAGGACCCCGATTCAGTAAAACTATGTTTACAAAACGTGTGGGTTTAAACCGTACGTGACTTTTTGAAAACAAACCGACTACTAAAACTTTGGTATTCACTAGAGACAAAAGGGAACATAGTTTTGTTCTTTGCTACGTGATTAAAATACTTATTATCGTTATAAATGTTCACTAAGGAGTTTTCGGCTTGAACCGGTCTTATTCTTTAATATAAGTATAATTATACCTTTGTTTGATAGTATCATAAAATAATACGTTAAATGGTTTTAAGTATATAATGGGTCCGAGTTTTTTGCATTAGCTCCACAAATATGATAAAGTATGCAAAGCATAATGATTAGTAACTGAACATGAGGATGTTTTGAACGGGCGTTGTCATGTTGTCATACCGTTATATGAGGTTTTTGTTTTTTCATCAATGAAAAACGTTACAATGTTAAAAATACCAATAAAAATATAGGTTTTGGGTCGAAAACCTATATAGGTAGTTCCCGTTGACCTAGAATCACGAAATTTGGCAAAAAGCAAGGTCTTACAACCCAAAAAGGTAAAAAATACTAAAAAAATAATTAAAGGAGTGTCAGTGTAACCAATATTGAACCGGCACTTAATTTGGACCACTTCTGTATTTCTACCAAAACGGCATTATTTGGTATAGTAAATTGGCACAAAAAGGAGCGCTACAAATGGCGGAGTATTAGTGGCACTGCTAGCTATCCTTTTTGTGTTGCTTGTGTAAAAAATAGTGCCATTTTGGTTGAAATACAAAAGTGGTCCAATTATATAGCTTATAATGATGACGGATTTAAAATATGGAATATCACCACCCCTATTTATCGAGTGGGTATTCAAACTACGCAGCACAACAGTACTGCAAAGAGAAAAACTTGTCACAAACCCTATACCAACCCGTCTGGCCTTATGGCTTATGGCTTATGTCCAGCAGTAGACTATTAGAGGCAGTTATGGTGATGTGATATATAAAAATTAATAGCCATGAGTAAATCAATACCACCTATAATATAGAGAGCAATCGTATATAAAATAGTAGCTATCTCATTTTCATAAATATAGAGATTAAATTACAGGTCTCGGTAAGTGGCGTACCTTGACTGGAATCTTGTGTGACACTAAAATGCCAATAAGAACTAAGGGCATGGTTTATAAGACGGCTGTTAGACCTGCGCTACTTTATGGTAGCGAAACCTGGGCATACAAAAAAGACGCATGAGCAAAAGTTACTAGTAGAAAAAGAAATATCCGGGCGCATCAGATATTTTGGGGATATGTTATTTAGACGCCAAAAATGCTACCATTGAAAGGTTTGACGATTTTAAAGTGATACAAGCTGGTAGCAAATTATCTGCAAATTCGAAAAATCGTCGCTTCGAAATACCCGAGCGTGTTAGATTTTATACAAGTACAGACGGATCAGCTTGATGTTCCTGTCATACTACATGTTTCATCCGCGTTAGTTTCAATTAATGAACAAATATTAAGATTGTAATTATAATTATTTGATACGATCCCTTGCACAAAATTATTTACCAAAAAAGAATTCTTTATCTTACAGGACACTTTATTGCAGACTGCGCACATGTCTTTGTTTCAAAAAGTACATTGTCTGTTGGTTGGCAAAAGACTAAACAAACGTAGGTAACACGTGTACCTAACAATCAATAGATTCTGCTGCCTGAGAAAGCGCTATAGGCTTTTTATGGAACTAGGGTTTTATTTCAACTTCTTAATATGTATGTCTCAAGGTCGAGAGGAACATTTCTTAATAGGAATTTACTTAAGGATATAAAAATAAACGAAAATTGGGAAGCGCATAGTGTAACGATTGCTTTAGTCTTTACTGTGAAATGTTCTGCGCACACGAGCATAATATTGCAATAAATATTTTCTTTCTGACAATAGTACATTTTATTTATTTACCTTCTTTGAGGTTGGTGCCAATTAAGCTAGTCCTCTAAATTGTATGAGCGCCCATACAACTCATACATCTTAATTGTCATCAACTATTTAGGGGAGAGTAACATATATTGAACCGAATCTGCATTAATGCTTGCGGGGTAAAAAATTCAATTCCCGAGAGGCAGTACAAAATGCCTTTGAAGAGTTTGTTGCCTAACGTCCAGCTGATTTTTACAAGAAGGGCATCAATAAACTGCCAATGCGTTGGCAAAGATGCGTTGATTGCATGGGTGATTACTTCGAATAACAGAAATAAAAAAGTTTGAAAAAATAAATACTTTCACTTATTGCATACAAAACGGCAATTTCATAGGTAAAGACCTAATATTTTTTTAATTCGGTTTCAATTACGTGTGTATTTTGGGGATTTACGATAGTAAATAGTTTTGCTAGTTCCTATGGCGATCCTTTATCAAGATCCAAAAGTACTTGATTTAAGCATCCCAGAAACCGTGGTAAGAACAAAATGGTTACCAATGACGAAAGTTCTTCATACTGCGAAATGAATTTACGAATACGAATTACGACATCACTAAAATTAGTAATACCATGTAAATTACGTATTGAATTTAAATTTCATTAGCGTGTACATGTATTTATTTAACAGCTGTATAAATATGCTATGAATAATACACAGATCGACATCCATTTTACAACGCAATATCGGAATGTAGAAGTACAGAAAATACGAGTACAATACGGACTATTAATCTAAGTATATCCGAAAGTGATATCTCCTAATACCACTTCTCCGGACCAAGTGATCCATGGTATTAATATTGGTTTGATCGGGATAAAATCAATACAAAAGCTTTTCACATCACATCACATCAACAGCCTTTAATAGTCCACTGCTGGACATAGGCCTCTCCTTAGAAAGAAGGTTTTAGTAAAAAGTAATCCATACTTCCACGCTTATATTATGAATGTGAATGTGAGTTTATTTGTTTGTTTGTTACACTTTCACGGCTAAACCACTAAACCGATTTTAATATTTTTTTCACCAAGCGAAAGCTATATTATCAGCGAGTAACATAGACTACTTTTTACACTACTTTTTACACGCGGTCAGAGCTGCGGGCTAAATAATTTATAATATAAGTATGGATGTATTATGGATATATAGATAGACTAGCTTTTGCCCGCGGCTCCGCCCGCGTAAATTTCAGTTATTGCCATAAAAAGTAGCGTAATTATTTTCATACCAAATTTAATCCAAATCGGTTAAGTGGTTATTGATTCACCATACAAACTTTCACCCCCTTTTCACTTCCGTAAAGGATGATTTTTGGGATGAAAACTAGCCTATGCTCTTTTCCGGGACTCGGACGATCTCTGTACTAAATTTCATTTAAATCGGTTCAGCGGTTTAATCGTGAAGAGGTAACAGACAGACGGACAGACAGACACACTTTCGCATTTATAATATCAGTATGGATAAAACTTTATTTGTACACCAGGGTTTTACAGATATTAGAAAGTATATGTTAGTTACGAAAGATACATGCTTTGTTGACGGTAAAATGTAGGCTTTAATACGACTGTCTACTTCAATACAGGGTTTTTGGGCAGAAATAGGGCTTTCTGGGTTAAAAGGCCTGAGTGTATGTGGGTACTGTGTATATAATTATAGTTAAGAAAAACTTCATAAACGCTTTAATGATGTACAAAAGTAAAAAAGACTACCACTGACCTCCACTGGCTTTATCATCAGACCATCACAACCAGGCTTAATTTGTTGGACTCAAAAGAAGTCATATGAGCCTAAGCCCGAGGGGCTTAGTACTAACCACTGAGGAGATTCACTATGCAGCTAATAGCTCCACTATCTGAAATCAGGTCCAAGATACCAGATAATATTAGGTATTGTCATCCAATATAGATACAAAACTTCATTTCGATACGGCTACCAAAAATAAGTTAAAATGGAATTCCTAGATTTTTTTGCCTAGTTTTAAATTAGTTTAATTTAAAAAAATGGATCAGTAACTAATCTATTCAGAGGAATAGAAAGACTGCCATTTGTTTCTTTTAAAGTACGAAATTGTGGCCCTAAATTTAAGATATTCAATAAACTTTCCAACAAATACGCTTTCTTTAAGTTTTTTATTTATGTAGTGGGTTTATTCCGGTACTGTAGATATTCAATTTCGATATATCCTACTTGGGTTCAATTTACTGTACAGATGTCGTCCCGCTTCGACGAAGTTTATTTTTTACATCATGAATAAAATGGGTATGTGGGAGCACGAAGCCGTGTACCGTACGCATTGAAGGGTTAGATAACAATTTTAGTACTATCTGTTTCTTTAATTCTTAAAAAATATAATATCTCTTCATCACTATCATCATCAGCCTGTTGCATTCCAGTGCTGGCCATAGGCCTCTCCAATTAAAGGCCATTTGGTTCGATCCTCGGCTTCTCGATCTATCTATCTATAGCTATCTCTTATGATTCCATAAAATGCAAGGGTATCGGTTCGTGTGAGGATAGGGGACTTTTTTTTATTGGGACTAATCCCACCCACACGCCCACCACTGTAACTCCTGTACACCAGGATCCACAGCAGTGACCCACGAACACACCGAGTTATGACACTCGGGAAGTCCCAGGAAGAAATTAAACTGTCTTGGAACCCGCAAGAGCACGGGGCAGCAATGTCGGGGCACCAGGGACTTCCTTTCTAGGGTATACCTGGTTCCCCGGCTATTAGTACCCGAGACGGCGTGCGGTTTTAGTCGGTTCGAGTCCGACATGCCACCGATAGGTGGTACCCGAGGGGATTTCGAAGAAAAAAAAAAAAAGGGGGACTGCGACGTAATACCTCACTACTCAATATAATTGCAAACATTCTTTTTCTATTTGACGGTGTGAAAGACATCTAATTTATTTCGCAAAACATTTCAAAATTGTTACTAAAGGTTAGGGCAAACGCAAAGTGGCACACCGTGTGGTTTTAGTCGGTTCGATTCCGACACACCGCCCCGCCGCAAACCCCGGTGTGGTGACGGCCCAATGGGGTTTCCACAGGTAAAAAAAAAGATAGCAGGCGAGACAGGACGTCCGCACGCAGCGGAGCTAGTACAATTGTACAAATGTACTTGCTCTGTATGCCACGTAGAATTCACACTAGCACTGGTACAAATGTACCAACGCCTGTTACATCTTTTCTCCGCCGTCCCACGTCTGCCCGCTATTTGACTCGGCCTTAAATTAATGTATTCATGAATAAGTTATTGATTTATGGAATATTATATAAATCGTAACTTCGGTTGAACTATGGATTAAGTAAAGTGACTGTTTCACAGGTATCACAGTTTTTTAACTGTTATTGCGATAAATAGGTCTAAACTTCATATTGTTCAAAATCTGCTTCATTTATTTAATAAACAAAATGGTATTCTTAATGATGTACATAATTATCCATCAGTCGATCTATATAATTTTATCTGAGTCAAGAGTCAAGGTAAGAAACAGTTAAAAGTGAAATTTCTTTTACACGGAAATACGTGCCGCTCATTTAATGGCCCGTTTCGGGGTCGTACTAAAGTTTATACAAGTATGTATTAAAAGAGACAGATTCAGGTAGTGAAGAAAAGAAAGGACATATATACTCAGTGCATTTCCGTTTCCTGTTCGTGGGAATTATTATCTTTATCTTCGTCATAAAGATATTTTTGCAACAGATGTGAGTTATATAATTTCGAAGCCGTTTCTGCCAAATATGAGTCTAATTAAAATGGTGTTAGTAAAACTAACATGGTGATTGTACATTCAAGAATCATTGAAACTTTAATCAGAACCAGAAGTACTGTTTGATAGATGTCAAAGGCGTGGATTTTTAAAGACAACCCCTGCACTAGGAGCATATCCTGTATCGCGACACAAAGAACACCCAGACTCAGAACAACAATTTGTAGATCACAGAGTGTTGTTCCATTTGGGGATCGAACCCACAACACTTGCGCAGTAGGAAGCGGCGAGGTAACCGCTTACGCGATCCGTGCAGTTAACAATATTATGAATGAATATTATCGTGGAATATTAATTAAAACTGGAATATGAACCTGAAGAAACAAACCTAACTATATGAAAGCCAGCTTAATAAGTACATAGGAAACAGCATAACATTCTCTACAAACCGACATTACGAGTGGCACATCTGTCAATCAATGCTTGATCAAATCTTATAATAAATAATTTTTTACTACAGAAGTGGCGATGGACTCCGGTCGTGCGTTTTGCCCTCGCGTCGGCTGCGACACAGTCGTCAACGTTCGAGCCGCCAGCCCTGCACACTGCCCGACTTGTCGCCACGACTTCTGTTCACAGTGCAATCAGGAGGTAAGAGTAAACACATGTTTCGTTATCTCTGAAGGTTACCTTACCTTATTCACATTTATTAAGATGTATCAACTGGTTGTCCTCCTATCGCTACGAGACTTCATAACCATTGAAATGTCACACACAAAGCGTTATTAAAGCCTTAAACAAGTGTAATGTAACCTGTCAGTTGTGTTGGGACTAGGGTTCACGTTGTATACTGGATGGTGTTCAAACTCGCAGCCACTTTATCTCAAGCTTGACGCATTAGCCATTACGCTACAGACAATATTTTGTTTAAATAATTGTAGAACCAAATTATACTTAGTAACGACCTAAATATAAAATGAAATATAGCAAGAAGATACGACGCTGCTATACTTGAAAATAAATTTGTATTGTTCTTAAATGGATTTGGAAAAAATGTATTAAAAACTAAGTGAATGTCACTTCGTTGTTTAAATTTATAAGTTAATAAGTCGTTTAGTAGCTGTAGTAATTAGTTTAATAGAAATAGTAATATAGTACAAAGCGTTATACTTATAAACCAGAAATGAAACTTACTTATATTTATTAGATATTGCACGGATGGCGTATTTAGCGCTCATCTTGCCACTTCAAATTTCGAACCCTGAGTGTTGTGGGTCCCCACATGATCTCACAAAGTGTTATCCCACTCTGTGAGATCCACAATAAGTCGCAGTAATAATATCAAATATATAATACAGCATTTGTCTTTAAATCAAATACAAAAAAAAAACATTGTTACTAATGGTATACTCTATTTCTCTTTGCAGTGTGTCCTGCGTAGTTTGCGTAGTGTCTTAATCCGTCATCTCGCGGCAATCTAATTTCATTAATGCTGACTGCTGTTAAACAAACTTCTATATTTCTAAATAAAAACATAATATTTTATAGATGAAATACACCCAGACTCAAAACAAGTAAACCTGCTCATCACGTAAATATTTGTCCTGGGCGAACCCACGACCTATGGCTAAGATGTCAGGGTCACAACAGGCCAATCAAATGCTTCACGTATTAAATATCATCTAATCATAATTCCGCTTATCGTTCCGCTAGACTCGCGTCGTGGGCTAAGCCCATTATACCTCTTCGGGTAATATGGCGTAACGGGCGTCTTTTCAACCGTCCTTTCATCGTCAAAACAGAAAGCCAAAGTCTCGCTTGCACGAAAATATCTTTGTACATTGCTAAAGGTGAGCCTCGTACGACACCTTATAAGCGAAACTAATCAAATCAATTAGAGACGATTAATTTCTGTTAGCTAATTGGCAATTATTTGGTGTTGCTTTTAGCTACAATGAGCACAAAGCGTACATGGGGGTTCCATGTACGCTTTGTGCTGTAGATGGCCCTAGGTACGTTGGGGAACCAGGGATTTCCTACCTAGGGTACACCTGGTTCCCCGGCTACTGGTACCCAAGAGGGCGTGCGGTTTTTAGTCGGTTCGAGTCCGACATAACCACCCCACCGGTGGGTGGTATCCGAGGCAATTTTCGCACAGAAAAAAGAGGGGCCAAACGAGCAACAAATACTAAAAAATAATACAATAAAAATAGAGAGGGCACCATTGTTTAGCGTGGACTTCATTTCAAATGGCAATTTAGTAACAATATCACTCACATTCAGAATATTAATTTTTCGGTAAAAAATAGCTTATGTCTTTTCTCACGAATCAAAGTATCTCCATAACAAATTTCATTTAAATCGCAGCGGCAGCGGTTATTGATTCCCCATACTTCCACCACCCGTTTTCACCACCTTAAACGATGATTTCTGGAATAAAAACTAAACTGGGATAAAAACTTGGTAAATCATAAATCTTTTTTGCGGTGAAAATGCTGCCCCAATATTAGGACAACAATTTTTAGTTCAGTTTCTCTACGTACAGCGACACCGTCACAGCTTACATACACACATAGTCACAAAATACACACACGCTCACACAACTTCATCAAACGTTGTTTGTAAAATCTTGATAAAATAATTAAACACCCATTATTAAGTAGACAGGGTACAATTTGCTTGAAATTTTATCTTATATCAGCACGATTACTTAGTCCATTACTCAATACTTTAATTAAAACTTATGGACAGACAAATAATTACACCGTGGGACCAGCTATTTATCACACATTTCCATTTAGTGCCACGGCTATTAATACTTCATTCGGAAAACCGATAGTTATATCTATATTTTTTATTTATTCTGAACACCAACGTCTGTTTACGCTTTAAAACACACAAAATACATTTACCACAAGTTAACTATCTTATAAGGTAAACTATCTTAAAAGATAAAATGAATGAATGTCTTTCTAATTCAACCAATCGAATGTTAAAAAGTTGCATATACAATTACAATGCTAAGTTATAGTAAAAAACATAATTACTAAACAACAGATTTCCAGCAAATGAGCAATTACATGAATAAGCATGTATATTTCTCTGAAGGTATAGGGCGCACGCGTAATATCACCACATAAGGCTAACTGCAATTTGGTTGCTAACCTAGCCTGTAGTTACTAACGTACTGCCATCAGCTGGACATCTTGAAAATTAAAAATGGAAAAATTTCGAGTATATTAATTGGGAAAGAAGGAAAGGCTATGAAAAAAGTCCTCCGTCCATACGTATAAGCTACACATCATAAACAGCCTATAACAGTCCAGACACAGGCCTCTCCTTAGAGAGGAGGTTTGGGCCTACTATACCACGCTGGCCAGATAGTTTGCTCCCTTAGTCGCCTTTTACGACACCCATGGTATAAATAGGGGTGGTAACGCTCTGTAGTCTTAATCCGACACCACACGGATAAAGCAATACATAGCACCTTATATTGCTTACACAGATGGATTAGAGACTGTTAGCAATAGACCAGGTCAGGGTTGGACATCTGAAACTTAAATTGGCTTTTGCTGGAATTTAAAATATTATACGTCCAAATTCAAGAACCGATTAAATAAGTTAACAGCTCATTTAACACATTATTAAAATCCTTTTGTAGTATCCCCATCGTTATACGCTCGGGTATAAGACTATAAAGGAAGGCCTTTAACGTCATTCCTAAAACCATTATTAGACAAATATGGTCTGCCCTTTTCAGTATCCATATAAAGTGATATTTTCACCTTTATTGTGACTCTTTACAAATCTGACATTTTAGGAGAGAGCTACATAAAGCGAAGGTAAACTATGACGCCGTAAAAATGGGGCCTTCAAAGTGCCACACGTCAGTACCCATGTCATCTTTTTCACAAATAGGTTAGTAATGATGTTTTCGTTGAGATTCAAAGATGATTTTGATTTCCGTAACACTAACCTGCAAACGGCTCAATAATAAGTCTTGTTATTTGTATTGTAGCCTGTAATATAAGAATTATCGTTCTTCAGGGTTAACTCCTTCTTCACCTTGTTCTTTGGTACTTTACCTTCAAAGGGTCTGCGATAACCTGCTGTAGTTTTACTTTGGATTTCGGAATTTGAGGATAAAGTGCTTGATGTTGTGCAGTATTCTTAGTTATTTTTAGACAAGTAGATCTATACATAGGCATATGTTAAGACATATGATATATACATAGTTATTGCGATTTGTTTTTAGAGGTCAAAAACCACATAACTGCAATTTTTTGTTTATCTGCAAACTCCCTAAAGCTTTATCAACAGAATTGACTCTAAACATTTGACAAAACAGATAGTTGTTAATGTGTGTGTTGGTCTATGACTTTAGAGTCTTAAGACGATTTTAAAATTAAATAAAGATATTTTGAGTTTGAGTTTGATCTACAATAATTAATTATGCCTCCTATATGTTATTGGCTAAGTAGATTGAAAATATAGCGAAGTCCGAGTTACAATATAGTGTAATAGTGTTCTAAAGGGTTAATTACAAGAAGTATCTTTGCATTACTCTACAATATAATGTCCCATGGTTTCTTACAAGGTTTTGACTCGTTAGAATACTTTCTGAATTCAGTAAATCGCATTTAAATAGTTGATAAATCTCATTAGGACCCTCCTGCAACGGCTTCTTACCATTTCAGATACACAAAAAGTCCCAGTGACGTAGCTAGACTGGGATTGTTGAGTTACTGCTGATGAGAACAATCGAGGATGGTTTGCCATGCAAATGATCGTGTGTTCGTTTTATGTTATGAGGACAGCGGTTTGATTCATTAAGATACATACCTCACTTTAAGACAGATAAATAAAGACAGGGATGGCGTAGTGGTTTAAGCGATCCCCATATGGGACGACACTTTGTGTAATCCACAAATTCTGAGTCTGGGTGTTCTTGTGTCCGTTTCATGTATGTTTGTAAAGTTCCCCGCGACACAGGATATATACCTAGTGCGGGAGTTGTCTTTCAAAAAATATAAAGAAAGAAGAAAGAAAGATAATTACACCAGTGCTGTGGCAAACCTCAATAAGCTACGGTAACTGCAATGGTTATTTGCAAAGGTCACTGATAATAATAAAAGAGAACGTCCGTAAATAATCGAAGGTCAGTATAGAATAGATGGAGTAACAAATAATGAAATGAAAGGTTAATGTTAATGAAATCACACATGTCAAGTCAAAATCGTATTATTTATTTGTTTATGATTGCTTGACGTTTTGTAATGGACGTCACGAGGTGAGGAGATGGCTGGCAGTTACCAAAATTGTGTAAAAATATTAAATATTATTAAATCAATCAGTTAAAGGGCGCTGTCTATTCGACAAAATCAAGATCGAGTTAAATCCATGATTCTGATCTGCTCAAGCCATATCGTACCCTATTCATCCCAAATCCAAATACGCTTTTCCTACTATTGACTTCCTTTTTTATCTTCCTTTAGATTCATTATACTCCTAATTTTACCAACTGATACTAAAGGGGACCAAAATGCATGCGTTCAATATGCCCTCGTCTACCCCTTCGGGGATATAAAGGAGACTGTATGTATGTGCGAATGGATCGCTTAGATGTTTATCACGACGACTCTTCATATGACAACCAAAGGAAATACAAATCAAAACATGTTATGACAACTGTTGATGAATGGACGCTTAAGATCTGTCACAGGACAAATGAATTAGTGTAATCAATTCGTTTGACATGTACAGTCAGCGTCAAAGTACACGTACAAGAT